TGTTCCCCTAGAAGCTGCTCTGGCTGCTCTATGACCTGGGACATCTGGAAAGGTCAGTAGAGGGAAGTGGCCAGGCTGGGCCTTGGGGGGCCAGAGGGCTGGGTGGCAGTCTGGACTTTTGATCCCTTCCCAGGTACCCCATGGCACTAGGGAACCTGGCAGATCTGGAGGAGCTGGAGCCCACCCCTGGCCGGCCAGACCCACTCACCCTCTACCACAAGGTGGGGGCATCTCAGAAGTGCAGAAGGGAGGCCCCAACAGCAGCTGGGGTCCCTTTCTTTCTGGGGACTGGGAGGGGGAAAGAGAGAAGAACTTTGTGTATTGGGGGGTATCACTCATCCAATCCCCACTTTGTATCAACTGTATGCTTAATCAGTGTTGTCACGGCTGTCTGAGGGGTGTCCCTGGGTTCCCCAACCTAGGGGTGGTGGGGTCTGGATTTGTTAACTTGCTGGGGGATGGAGGTAGGAGGGCCATTGGGCTGGGCTTGGAAGTCTTTGGTGTTTGTGTAGAAGAGTGTGTGGGAAAGCCTGGTAAAGAGATGAGCCCTCAGCTCAGAGGGAGGGCCCCTTCCTCCCTAGGCCTGTTCTCTGGGGGTCCCCATCCCTGAGGTCTGCCCCAGGCCTCAGCAAGCAGTCCTGCAGACCCAGGGAGGAGCACCGGGTAGAGGGGCTGGCAGGGAGTGGAGGTGGGTTTGGAGATGGGGAGGACTCTTTGTGGTCTTCCTGTTGTCCCTTCTGGGTGTGACCTGATAGGGCATTTGTGCCAGCCGGGGCAGCTGGGTCTGCCTCCCTGAGGCTTCTCCGCCCCATCCCCCAGGGCATTGCCTCAGCCAAGACTTACTACCGGGATGAACACATCTACCCCTACATGTACCTGGCCGGCTACCACTGTCGCAACCGCAATGTGCGTGAAGCCCTGCAGGCCTGGGCCGACACAGCCACTGTCATCCAGGAGTGAGGATACCCCCACTAGGGCCTCCAGCCCATCCTTTGTTCCTCCTCTACCCAGTTTCCTACCTTTCTCATCCAGGAGTGAGGCCTGGGTCCCAAGCCCCAGTCCCTATCCATCCAGTCCCTAGGCAGCCAAGGGCACCGTTGCCCAGGAGGTAGGGACCCCTGATTTCCCCCTCTCCCCTCTTCCAATATCTAACCACCATCATCTAGCAGTGGGACTTTCACCTTTAGCCTCATGCCCCCCTCCTCATTCTTGCTTGGAGCTGACACAGGACACCTCATTTTGGAGTGAGAACCCCAACCACTCACCCAGTTTCTGGGATGACCTAGGAAAAGAACCTGGGCTCCATCCCCCACCAGGTCCCTGGGGGTACCCACATGGCCAAGACCCCACAGTGCCCCACTGCTCTCACAGCTACAACTACTGCCGGGAAGATGAGGAGATCTACAAGGAGTTCTTTGAAGTGGCCAATGATGTCATCCCCAACCTGCTGAAGGAGGCAGCCAGCTTGCTGGAGGCAGGCGAGGAGCGGCCAGGGGAGCAGACTCAGGTGAAGTGCTGGAGCTCCAGCCTGTGCCCACCTTCTCCCTTGGCAAGGCTCCCCAGCCACAGGACATGGAGACTGCACAAGGAGGGTGGCCCAGAGTAGACAGCTTCATTCTCTTTTGCTATAGCCGAGGTCCTGGGCTTAGGTTTGAGGAACTGAGAGTATTTTAGGGGTTTCTACCCTATACTTTCAGGTAAATGGAGTGGAAGCCCGTCTCTTTCATGGCCAGGGTCCCTCACTCAGCTTAGCGGGTGGGATGGAGGTAAGGGATGGTTCCCCTCTTCTTCATTCCTGTCTATGGACTGGCTTTATAAAAGGAAGGAGGTTCTAAGAATTCTCCCTACCTACATTCACCTCTTTGCCTAGGTGGGAGGACTGGCCTGTTCCCCCTGCCAAGGGGTGAGTAAGGGACTCTGACTTGTGCCCTCCCTTCCCCTTTACCCAGGGCACCCAGAGCCAGGGTTCTGCCCTCCAGGACCCTGAGTGCTTTGCCCACCTGCTGCGATTCTACGATGGCATCTGCAAATGGGAGGAGGGCAGCCCCACACCGGTACTGCACGTGGGCTGGGCCACCTTCCTTGTGCAGTCCCTAGGCCGTTTCGAGGGACAGGTGAGGATCAGTAACTGCACAGGGAGGCTGGGCACTACAGGTGGCCACAGCAGCTACAGGGGACTCAGACCTTTGTTGCCCTGAGGCAGCATTTGCCCATCCCCCTTCATCATTGTCTCATCATTGGTACAGATGAGACTGAGACTCCGTAGAAAGGATGGCGCACTGGGTCCTGCAGTGCCAGCCACTGGCCTGCAAACTTTTCCTTAGCTTGCCCTTCCCATCGGTTCAGGTGCGACAGAAGGTGCACATAGTGAGCCGTGAGGCCGAGGCAGCCGAGGCCGAGGAGCTGTGGGGCGAGGAATCCCGGGAAGGCCGGCGGCGGGGCCCGCGGCGGGAGTCCAAGCCAGAGGAGCCGCCGCCGCCCAAGAAACCCGCGCTGGACAAGGGCCCCGGTGCGGGCCAGAGTGCGGTGGCGGGACCTCCCCGGAAGCCCCCAGGGACGGTCCCGGGCACTGCCCGAGGCCCTGAAGGCGGCAACGCAGCTCAGGCGCCAGCTCCCGCAGCGTCCCCGCCGCCGGAGGGTCCGGTGCTCACTTTCCAGAGCGAGAAGATGAAGGGCATGAAGGAGCTGCTGGTGGCCACCAAGATCAACTCCAGCGCCATCAAGCTGCAACTCACGGCGCAGTCGCAAGTGCAGATGAAGAAGCAGAAGGTGTCCACACCCAGCGACTACACTCTTTCTTTCCTCAAGCGGCAGCGCAAGGGCCTCTGAACTACCGGGACTTCTTAACAGCCCACGGGGACCCAGGCCCCTCACTCAGTCCGTATGGAGGCGCCACCCCAGCTCCCTTACCCCAGGCCCCGGCTTCGTCCCCAGCCCAAGGGATCTAGGCAGAGCCTCCAGCCAGGGACCACGCCCCGCCTCTACTTGGTCCCGGAAGTACAGACTAGTAAACCCCAACCCCGAACCTAGCTCCAGCTCAGAACCGAGGCCCTGCCCGGGTCATTAAAATATAGGCCCCACCTTCCGGAATCCCCGCCGGCCAACTGAAACCTCACTCCAGGTCCGGATCACCAATCTTTAAAGGTCCAGCCCCTGGAAACTCAGGCCCACTTCGGAACGAAGGCGCTAACCGGGGCCAGACCGGTGTTGCTCAGGGCTGCTCCCAGGTCATGGGGCCTGGGATTTCACCCTTAACCCAAGGAACACAGGTCCCACCTCCAGCCCGGGAATCTAGGACCCCATTCATCCCCTAGAAGTACATTTCTGCACTTCAGAATTCCATTCCTTGGGGGTCCAAGCTTCCTACCCCAGAGAAAAGCCCTGCTTCCAGAATTTGGAATTCCTAGCTTCATCTCTTCCGCGTCCCAAAACTCCGGGGCACGAAGCTCCGCCCCCAGCATGTGAATGCTGAGCCCTGCCCCTTCCTGACCGAACTGGCCCGGATCAGAGCAGGACCTCTCCCGACCCTCTGGGAACCAACCCGAGGTCCAGCCCATCTCAGGGGACCTCGGAGGAAATCTGCAGGGGGTGGGGTGCGGGTGAGGGGAACCTGATCTCTTCCTGTTTTGTACATAGATTTATTTTTCAGTTCTAAGGAAGATGAATACATTTTGTAAAAAAAAAAAAAAAAGCAAAGCACACGTGCATGTTTCATCTGGGAAATTGGGGATGGGGCGGGAGTGGAACGCCCCCTCTTGCTTCTGCCTTCGGCTCCCTGGACGTCGGGCTCCGCACCTGTACGGCACGAGAAACGGCCGGCTGGCGGAAGGACCGAAGCACCGCCCCGGCCTCGGGACTTCCCCCGCGCCGCCGAGGGCCTGTCCCGCGGGCGCCTCCTCCCGGCCGGGCGGCGGGGCCTCCCCGGCCTGGCCCCACCCTCGGGC